GGGTACCCGGACATTCGACGTCTCGATTTTTCCGTGACAGGGGTCTCCGACCTCCTGGCCACTTCTTTGGCACCCGTTGGTCACTTCGAGGCGTTGTTGACGGTCCCGAGGCCCCGCGAAGGCCTTGAGAGGCCGAAGACACGGAAACACCGCCGTCTCGATTTATTGGAGACGCCGGATGTCTGGGTAGGGTTCTCATGTTCCAACCTACTCTAGCCTTGACCACCAGGAAGAATTTCGAGCGCTCAAAAAAGTACCAACGTTCCAGGGCTTTCACGTGTCGGGCCCTGGGAGACACTCGCCCGACACTGTTTCGACACTCTTTTTTGACACTTCTCCGGGTGCTCGAAATCATTTCTGGGATGCGGTCCTCAAGTAGGGTGGGAGCAACCTAAGGGTAGGGGTAGGCGTATCTCTTCATCCTCTGAAGGCTGCACCCGATCTGCATCTGCTTCTGGCGGGGCCCCACGGCGCCGGCAGCCCGGGGCGGCGGCAGCTGCCCACCAGCCCGGAGGAGGGCGAGGGCCCGGGGGAGGAGGAGGTCGGGGGCAACGATAGAGGGGGGATAGGCATTAGGGGGGGATGCATCGACCCCCAGTCGCCCATTGATCGCCGATCGGGGCCCGATAGCCCTAACCTGCCCAGGAAGGTTCGGATTCACTATTGGAGGCCTATCGCCGATCTATCGGCGATGTATCGCCGATTCCAGGTCGATATCTCCCCCCTATCCCTGTCCCCCTCCTATCGTTGCCCCTCGGGAGGAGGGACCAAGGGAACAAGGAAGAAACACAGGGGCAAGAGCAGGATCATATTCAGGATAAGGATGGAGGAGGAGGAGGAGGAGGAGGAGGAGGAGGAGGAGGAGGAGGATGAGGAGGAGGAGGAGGAGGAGGAGGAGGAGGGGGAGGAGGAGGAGGAGAGGGGGGGGCTGCACCGCGTGGTGAGTCGGTGGGGATCCGGGGTCACCGCACAGTTTGGGGACCCGGGCCGCTCTCAGAGCGAGTTTGGGGCCTCCGAGGGCCCAACACCGTGCGGTGGACGGCCCGCGCGGTGAGGCCGTTGGGGGCTGGGGGGTCCCTGAGAGCCGAGGGCGCGAAGAAGTAACGAGACATTGCATGGGTGACGGCCAGAACCCTGGACCCACTGGCTTCCTGCGCCACTGCTCGAGCTGGGTCGATCTGTGGGGGCCCGGCCCGAGACCGGGCGAGGAAGCGCCCGGGCTCGCAAGAGTCGAGGCGCCGGGATCTCTGGGGAGGCCGCTGGGGATTCCGAGGCCACCGTGCGCTCCGTCACCACATGATGTTTGGGGTCCCCGGTGAGGACACGGCGTCGACCTCTTGCTCGCAGGTCGCCCACGACACGCTCCCCGGACCCACGCCGCAGCGGCGCATGCGCCACGTCGCGTCGATGCCCGACTTCCAGGGCAGGTGCGGGAGCTCTCGCTCCTCCTCCTGCTCCTCCAGGATCCCCAAGGGCTCAGCGACTTTTCTCCAACCGACTCGCAGGGATCAAGCCAGGCAGATCGAGGTAAATCTAGGTAAACGCAGACAAGTCGGAGCGTTCCAAAAATGGCCATGCCTTCGAGGATCGAAGGAGTTGTCATCTCTTCCGCCTCGGAAGGCGGCGACAGGGCGGCGGAAGGTCGGCGGAAGTAAGACGAGGCCGCCTCCGCCGGCGGTAGCCGGCAGACGCTGGCGGAAGTTCGGCGGAAGGCGGCGGGAATGTTAAGTTGCAGTCCAAGAGATGAAAACGTTTTCGGGTTCAGGGTTTCCGAAATCGCCCAGATAGATCGAGGTAAACCCAGAGATCTCCGGGAACCTCTGGAGCAAGCGGGGGACGCGCCAGCGCGAGCCGAGGGCCAGCAGAAGTCGTCAAGCCTCGAGCGACAGGACCCGCTCTCGCCCCAGCTCGCCGCCGCGCTCCGACATGCCGGACGACGCCAGCCAGCCAAGCACGCCGTGGCTCTGAGAGGAGGGACAAACCCGGGGGACGGAAGGCTCGACTTCGCCAGAACTCGGGTTTGCCTCGATGCGCGCTGGGCCCCCCTGACGGCGCCTCCGGCGCCCCCCCTGGCGCGCTCCGGGGGGGGGGGGGGGGAACCAGCGCAGATCCAAGAAAACCGCGCGGATCGCCAAACGTTTACGTTTGTACAGTTTTTGTTCTGCGTCTATTGCCGACGTTGTTTGGCGGGCCCGTCCTGAGTTTGGACGGTCCACTTTTCGTGGGGACGTTTGCAGCGGGAGTTCGCGTCACACTTCAGGTTGGGTCGCGTCAGTTTCCTGTCGGCCCTGTCAGGCCAACCCAAGTCCCTCTGGGAGGCCTTTGTCCCCACGGCTGGCTTCGCCCCGAGAGTCTAGCCAGAACGCACCCCCAGGGAGATCTGGGGATTAGCAGTATCGGTACGGTCGGACCGAGGTACAATCGGGCCGAACGAAAGAGGGGGATAGGAAAAGGGGGGGGGTACGAAATCTGCTGCATGCAGCTGGTTGTGCTCCCGCCGCCGGGCCCATTCCTCGATACACGGGCGCCTCCGGCGCCGGGAGGCGCCGGGAAACTCAGCCACGAGAGTTGATTCTCACCCCCCCCCCCTTGCTATCCCCCCCCTTTCGCCCGGCCCGAGGCAGGAGGGCGAGGTCGGCTCGGGGAGGGCGCCCAGCTGCTCCTCGCGCCTGTCTGGAGGCTCCCCAGAGATCCGACGTCGCGATTTTTTTTCAATGCGGGGTCCCCGGAAGTCCCGACCCTCTCCCCAGGACTCGTTTTTCGTCCCGAGTCGTTTTTTGACGGCCTCTCGGGGCCCGGCGAGGGCCCCGAGAGGCCAAAAGCTGCGAAAAACCTCCGTCTTTGATTTTCTCAATGCGTCGGATCTCTGGGGATTTTGGAAAGGGCCTTGTCAGAAAGCGGCGGGACTTCTCAGACGCCCTCGCGCCTTCTGAGAGGGTCTCGGCGTCCTCGGGGAAGGCTCCGAAAACTTCTCCGAGGGCGGGAGGGCCTCCGAGCCTTCTGAGAAGGCCCGCCCCTCCTCCTCCTCCTCCTCCTCCTCCTCCTCCTCCTCCTCGTCCTCCTCCTCCTCCTCCTCCTCCTCCTGGTCTTTCTGTGCATCGTGGGCAGGGTGCCCCCTCTGGGCTGTCCTGTGCGTCCTGGGCATGCGGAGGGCCTCCCCGCTCTCGGCGGCTGCTCTCTGCTGTCCTGGGCCCGGCCGCACCTGCCCTATACCTCGGGAGGGGAAGCACGCACAGGCACCACCAGCCGTCGACCCCGCGGGAGGAGGAGGAGGAGGAGGAGGAGGAGGAGGAGGAGGAGGAGGAGGAGGAGGAGGAGGAGGAGGAGGAGGAGGAGGAGGAGGAGGAGGGTGGAGGGTGGAGGGAGGAGGGAGGAGGGAGGAGGGAGGAGGGAGGGGGGAGGAGGGAGGAGGGGCGGACGAACACCCAGAAGGTGTGAAAGCAGATGGGGGATCCTGGGACTCGTGTCTGTGTCTTCCTTTGCGCGTCCCTGGGCCCCCTCAGCGTTGGTCTCCCCAGGCTCTCCGACGCCAGCCGACCCGACCTGGCGGAGAGCGAGGAGAGCTCCGCCAGCCTTGGCCACGGCGCGCGCAACTTCAGCTCCGACTCGCTCTGCTCGGACGCCTCCAGGAACACGTCGGCCAGCAGGCTGACCTGCCGCATCGGCACCGTGCCGTGGATGTCGCCCGAGCTCCTGCGGAGCGGCTCGAGCTACACCGCCAAGGTGGACGTGTACGCGTACGGGGTGCTGCTCTACGAGATCCTGTTCTGCGAGCCCCCGTTCGCGGAGCTCGAGCCCGAGGAGGTGGAGGCGGCCGTCCTCGCGGGATACAGGCCCGACACGGACTGGGACGGCGGCGATGACGTGCCCTCGCAGCTGCTGGGGCTGATGCGGGCGTGCTGGCACGAGGACGCTCCGCGGAGGCCCTCCTTCGACACGCTGGTGGGCGCCCTGGCCGCGTTCCGGAGGGAGGACGCGGCGGCCTTCGAGGCCCTCCTGACCGCAGGCGAGGGCGAAGCGGAGATGGGCATGTCGCACTGGGAGGTGTGCATCTCGCGTGGGCCATCGTCGGCAATTGTTGTGTGAAACCTGCCATTCGATCCGCCCACACATCTAATCGTCTATTCCTCGCGACGAACTTGCGGCAGCAATTTGTCGATACGCGGGCACCCCCGAAGACAAAACTCCCATTGCCTTGCCCTCGCGGCAGTGGCGGCAAGTTTTTCAGCTCATTCATGCGACTTGTTGGAGATGCATGCCTCTTTTCCCCTGCTCACGCGCCGGCCATTGCTTTTTCTTTTCCCTGCTTACGCGCCGTCTGGTGCAAGGCACACTCACTCACTCTCTCACCCCCTCCACGCCCAAACTACGCATGTGATGCTTGTTTTCCCGAATATGTTTTCCCGGCGAACTATCGTTTGCAGGATTCACTGCTCCGTGGCATGGGAGTTGGTAGCAGTGGCTCGGCCTCGGATCTGGATGAACTCTTAGCTGACCCAGTCCATGGAGTGTGAGCTGAGGTGTATGATGAGAAGGCTGGGGAGGAACAGGATGCAGGGCCAGTCTTCGCTTTGTACTTCTTACACTGCAGCATCTGTTGCTTGCAGCTGCCTGTAACGATAATATCTGCCGCATTGCAGCTTCTTTAGCTGCCTGTAAAGATGAATTATACGTGGGTGCGGGTAGACACTGACTTTTTCACACCTTTAAGTCGTAGCCCCCCGTATGCATTTCAATGTTGGTTTCGCAGTGTACTCCATGTGCGCATTTACATGCGGTTTAAGCTTGGCGTTTGAATGCTGTCCCAGAGCGCACTTCGAGTGCAATCGCCTGCGTACTCCTCGGCGTTGGACCAGGCCCGGTGCCCTGGCAAGAGCCAACCAAAAGCACTATTCGGTGAACATGCTAAGGTGATCGCACGATGGTTTGCGCTTTCCAGCGTCACGGTAACCACCAAACAGCTCGTCTCGCAGCGATCCTCTGAGTGCGTGTCGGTGTCCAGTCCCGCTCCGTCGCCATTGGAGCGACGCAACAAAAACGGTGTCGCTTGCGCCGACATTCGTGCGTCACCTGCCCGCGTGAGGTCGCGCGTGAGCGCCCTTGTCTCCCGTGTAGCGTGCCGCGGTGGCGGCCCGCGGCAGCCGCCGCGTAAGGTCGCTTTGTCATCTCGCGTGAGACCCTTCTCTTCTCGTCGCGCACGTTTTCGGGATCGGGGTGCTTGGAGCGCTGTAGCGCGTCGACCCAGGGCTGAACACGGGCGCCTCCCGGCTGATTTGTGCTTGGGAGCTTGCCGCCGACCATGGCTACAGGCTGGGACATGGGACGCGGGGGCCCTGCCTTCCTCTGGCGTCGGCCCTCTCGCGGCAGGCGCCGTTCCCAAGGGTGGGCCGGGGGGGTGGGGCAGGTCGGGCGGGTGGGAGGAGGCAGGAGGGAGGAGGGAGGAGGAGGAGGAGGAGGGGGAGGGGGAGGAGGGGGAGGGGGAGACGGAGGACGAGGACGAGGAGGAGGAGGAGGAGGAGAGGAGGAGAAGGGGGGAGGGGGAGGGGGAGGGGGGAAGACCACTTAGGTGGCGCAAGCGTCATAATCTGACGTCCTACCCCTCCCTCCCTCCCTTACCATGGCGCTGATTTTCTCTATCCGCGGACGCGTGTCGTAGCGGACCTGTGGCTCCGCGCGCGCGTGCGTAGTGGGTGGTGGTGCGCGTGCGTGCGTGCGTGCGAGCGTGCGTGCGTGCGTGCGTGTGTGCGTGGTTGTGGTGGTGTGGTGGTGCTGGTGCTGGTGCTGGTGCTGGTGCTGGTGCTGGTGCTGGTGCTGGTGCTGGTGCTGGTGCTGGTGCTGGTGCTGGTGGTGGTGGTGGTGGTGGCGGTGGTGGTGGTGGTGGTGCGGCGCGGTGGTGGCGGGCGGATGGGCGCGCGAGAAAAGGCCCGCGCTGGGGCGAGAACGCCATCCTGAACGACGGAGGCCAAACACCGATCCGAAAATGAGGCCCACGCTGCAGCGGGAGCACGATTCGGAACGATTCGGGAGCAGAAATGAGGCCGGCGCCTCAACGAGAGCAGCATTTTGGGAAAAAATGACGTCGGCGCCTCAGCGAGAGTCGTTTCCCGGGATTTCCCGGGGATCCTGTGTGTTAAAAAACAGTACGCGGAGGGTGCGCGGCCATCACCCGGACGCCATCATGGAAAAGTGGGTGATAGTATTTTTCACATATTGAGTATTTTGGGAGGGGGATGAGGAGGCAGAAGGAGGAGGAGGAGGGAGGAGGAGCGAGGAGGAGGAGGAGGAGGAGGAGGGGCCCCGCGCGGCCCCCTTGTGACCTCCAGCCGCGGGCCCGGAGAGTTGCCAGCAAGGTGTACGGTAGGTTAGTGTCGTGTCGACCAGCGGCGACCCCAGCGCGGGCGTTCAAGGTTGAGCGCCGCCGGCGACCCAGAATCGATCGATGTTGAACGATCGGACGTTGCGGCAGCGGCCGATCGTTCAAGGTTGAACGATCCCTGCGGTGTCAAAAACCAACGCTGGGGTCGGCACGACACGAACCTGCCGTACGCTCGTCTTCTCCTTCTCGCCATCGGAGGCCTCGAGGTTGGCACGAACAGCAGGATCGGCGGTGTGCCTTCACCGAGGGAAGATGCTCCCGATCTCGGTGGTGTTGGCAATGCTCGGGCTTCCAAGGGGGCCGAACTGCTGCCACCAGCACCAAAGGCCAGGATCAGCTCACGCAACCCTGTGGAGGCGACACCATGTGTTGGTGTTGGTGCCCAGAGCCGATGAGGAGGAGGAAGCACCTCCCCAGCTTTCAGCGGGCCCTTCGCCCGCACGCCCCTTGTTAGGCCCCCCGGGAGACCCTCGCCGCCACCGCTGGATCCGCCTCGAAATCCTGATCAGCCCCCCCCCGCCCCGGGAGAGGTCCGGGGAGTAGCGGTATCGGTACCGTTTGGTCTCCCCGAATTCTTACGAGCGTACAGGATCAGATTGATCAGCACCGTCGTCATCGTCTTCATCCTTATGCCGAGATCTCCTGCGAAACGTGTCTTATCCCCGCTGGACCCTGGAGTTTCTTATCCCCAGGGGGTTATGATCGGGAGGTTTCGGTTAGCGGTATCGGTACAATTTGGTCTCTCCGGATTCAGTTGTCCTGATTCGCTCGCGTTGAAACGCAACAGTACCGTGTTCAAAACGTCTATGTTCACACGCTGTGTGTTGGCTCCATGTGTCGGCCCACGTGCCAGCCCAGCTCGAAGAGCTTTGACACGGGGGCGTTCACGGGGCTTGCATCCTTTGCGCGCATCCTGTTCCCCCCCCCCCAGTCTCGGCGGCGAGCCCGTAGGGAAGGAGGAGGAGGAGGAGGAGGAGGAGGAGGAGAGGAGGAGGAGCGAGAGGAGGAAGGAAGGATGAGGGGGGACGGGGGAGGGGAGAGGAAAGAGGAGTTAGTAGGAGGAGGAGGAGGAGGAGGAGGAGGGAGGAGGAGGAGGAGGAGAGGTTGGGCCTTCTCAGGAGCCTCGGAGGCCCTCCCGCCCTCGGAGAAGTTTTCGGAGCCTTCCCCGAGGACGCCGAGAGACCCTCGCAGACGGCGCGAGGGCGTCTGAGAAGTCCCGCCGCTTTCGGACAAGGCCCTCTCCAAAATCCCCAGAGATTCGACGCATTGAAAAAATCAAAGACGGAGGTTTTGCACAGGTTTTGGCCTCTCGGGGCCCTCGCCGGGCCTCGGGACCGTCAAAAAACGACTCAGGACGAAAAACTGGTCCCGGGGAAATGGTCGGGACTTCCAGGGACCCCGCATTGAAAAAATCACGACATCGGATCTCTTGGTCCCTTCCCCCCCTTGGGCGCGCCGCCGAATATCGGTCAAAATGGACCCCTGTACCCCACCCAGGGTCCATCGGACCCGGCTTCCACCCCAGATCGAGTTTCGGGGGTCCCGGGGGCCCGAAACCGGCCCCCCGGAGGCCGAAAACTGTGAAAAGCCGCCCCGCAGTTCGAATCTCCAATTTCGAACCTCGAGTGTTCCCTCCTCCCCCAGACCCCCGACGTCGTGATAGTTTCGTAGCGTCGACCCCCAGAGGTCGGGACCAGTTGTTCATCCTGGGTAGGTGTTTGACGGTCCCGAGGCTCGGCGAGGGCCCCCGGAGGCCGAAGATAACGAAAGAAACTTCCCGTCGTGAGTTTTCCACAGCGCGAGGGGGTCACACGAACACCCCACCCAGTCACGAGCAATCCCCCAGACACGAGCACCCCAACCCGCAGTCGCGAGGGGGTCTGCCCCACCCCCCCGCAGTCACGAACACCCCACCCCCGGTGCGCGCGGCCTCTCTCGCGAGAGATGCGCCCGCGGGAGGTGAGAGCCTGCCTGCCATGAAGTCGGGCGTGTCCCTCTACCTGAGGACTATTCAAAAATAGTCAAAAACTAGTCTGGGAGCGATTTGTTGTTTCGAGTATTTTGACGATTGTCGAGTATATTTTGGGAGCATTTTTGTTCCTTCGCCCAAGATCCGCTGGTAGGGGGACATGGATCCGCTGGTATGGGGACATGTCCGACCTAAACATACCATGTGCCCCCCCCCCCCCCCTGGCCCGCCTGTAGGGGGACATGCCCGAAGCCTACCATGTGCCCCTCCCCCCCCCAGAGATCCAACGCATTGAAAAAATCGCGACGGAGGTTTTTCGCAGTATTTGGCCTGTCGGGGCCCTCGCCGGGCCTCGGGGCCGTCAAAAAACAACTCAGGACGAAAAACCGGTCCTGGGGAGGGGGTCGGGACTTCCGGGGACCCCGTATTGAAAAAATCACGACATCGGGTTTCTGGGTACCCAGGCCCGCTGGAGTCATCACAGACGTCGGGCGTCTCGAACAAAGTTCGAGATCGAGGTTTGTCGTGGTTTTCGGCCTCTCGGGGCCCTCGCCGGGCCTCGGGACCGTCGCTAAACGACCCGGGATGACACATCGGGCCCAGGGAAGTGGTCGGGAGGTCGGGGGCTCGTGTCTCGAAAAAATCGAGACGTCGGATGTCTTGGATGATCAATTCAAGACGGAGGGTGTTTCGCTATTTTCGGCCTCTGGGGGCCTTCGCCAGGCTTCGGGAGCGTCAAAAAGTTTGACGCAGGATGACACACCGGTCCCGGGGAATAGGTCGCGATGTTTGGGGGTCGACGTTCTGAAAAAAGCATGGCGTCGGGGGTCTGGGTATAAGGGGCTTCAGACCAGCAGCCGGCGACGCAGGGTAGCCAGCCCCGGAGGAGCTCGTTCCAGTGCCGGGCAGGGAACGCCGCGGAGAGTTCGCCGTGCGTTCCGAGAATCGTTGTCCGATTCGTTACGAATGCCTTTGCCGCATTCCGCAGCTCCCGGGAAGCTCGTCGTGGGCTCCCTCGAGGGTGCTTTCTCGAGCTTGCGAGCTCCCCCGACATCCTGCTGGGCGTCCTTGCAGGAGGCCTTCGCGCGCCGTGGATCGCCCCGCCATCCGGGTCTTGGATGCCACAAGTTCCCCCCACTTCTTCCCTCTCCTCCTCCTCCTCCTCCTCCCCCTCCTCCTCCTCCTCCTCCTCCTCCTCCTCCTCCTCCTCCTCCTCCTCCCCCGCTATCGGGACGATCGGTGGAGGGGCGGAAAAAGACGGGGCACGAAGACCGACCGCATGTCCTGCTCTTTCTGAGCCGGGCTCGCCGTCGGTGCTGTCGCCGCGGGCCCAGACCCCCGACGCCACGAGTTTTTCACTCGGGAGGGAAAAAAACACAGACACAATGAATCGTCGATTCCCCAGAAAATATGGGAAAATATGGGAAGTGGGGGGGAAGACAGAAACCCAGAACATATGGGAAAATATGGGGAATATGTTTATTTGTGTGTGTTTATTTGTGTGTCCTGGGGCCCCTTCATTCATGACGCGACCCCCAGAAGTCTGGACCCATTCCCCAGGACCGGCTTTTCATCCTGAGCCGTTTTCTGACGGGCCCGAGGGCCAGTAAGGGCCCCCGGAGGCCGAAAATAGCCAAAAACCTCACGTCGTGATT